GAGATTTCTGTTTAGGCTTCATACGTTACTATATATTTTTAGTATTCATGAGATTGACATTGATGTGGGCTGAAAAATCTAAAGGTTTTAAAATTCTGTTCCAAAAATCTTTCTCAAAATTTAAAGACAATGCCCTTAGGAATGATGACAATAAAAAGGAATGTGAATAATTTTACTAATATTAGTTTATTCTCCGAATAATAATTTTAAAGCCAAACAAATAAATAATGCTAGCATTCACTGAATGCTTACTTCGTTCCAGGCACTGTGCTTAACATTTTGCATGTCATGTTATTTAATCCTCAAAACTATTCAAGGTTATTATTTACTGTCTTAACAAACAAAAACAACAACAAAACAAAACTTGAAGCATTACACTGCTGAAATCCATGCCTAGAATTACACAACTAGTGAAACACCAGGCATGAACAAGTCTTACTACAGTATTTACAGATCTTGACCTAACCCAACCATGGCTTTTGGATTCTTTTCCATTCCACATCCCAGTGCCAGCACACATATCCACAGAGGACATAAAAAATATGTCATAGGGACACCTGGGTGGCTCAGTGGGTTAAAGCCTCTGCCTTCCACTCAGGTCATGATCCTAACGTCCTGGGATCGAGCCCGGCATCCGGCTCTCCGCTCTGTGGGGAGCCTGCTTCCTCCTCTCTCTCTGCCTGCTTCTCTGCTTACTTGTGATCTCTGTCTGTCAAATAAATAAATAAAGTCATATCAGATGACAAAGTCATTTTTTTTTTAAAGTCATTTTTTTTAAAAAGTCATTTTTTTAAAAAAAGTCATAATCAGATGACAAAGAAAACACCTGCATTGATAGTGCCACCTTCCATAAAAGTTTCAAAAATAATTTTTATAGGTCTTGTACTTATCATTTATAGGTATAGCCCAAATGTCAACCAAATTAATATTGATTTTTTAAGATCAACATAATATTGACTCAACACTTCTATCCCTTCAGGAAGTGGGAAATCCATGCCCTTTCTCCACCTCCCCACCTTCTGGGAGATGTTTATTAACTGGTGCTTTCATGTAGGTCAGCAGTTCTCATTTTCTATTCTTGCTGGACTCTGAGTCTTACTGTTTTCTCATCCCCAGTAATGATTCTTTTTGCTCTGTATTACAAAAAACAGGAAGCGGTAAAGTCTTTTCCTTGATTTCTTCAAAATCATTCAGTTATTTGTGTAGATGATTTCTCTGAAGTTTTAAGGCAATGGAAGAAGGCAGGTACAGCACAAAGTTGCATAGAAAACATTTTAAAACTGAGTATTAGATAATCCCTTCCTTAAAATTCCTTCAGTTGCCCTAAGAAATTATTCATCGACTAGCTCTCGTCAGGCTCCAGTCTCTGCCATATAATTTGGGCACTTCCCTTGTGTGACTAATCCCTCTCTTACTTTTCTCATCCTCATTGAAACTCCTTAATTTGTGATAACTCTTCAAGCTGAACAGTTAGCTAATACTTCCACATATTTCCTTTCAGAGTATAAGCCTTGGTCCTCATCTTCTACACCACAGGCAGTTTCCTTTTCAAAAACATTTAGTTCCCTAAGAAAAATTCAGATGCCTACCACTAATATACACTTTTAAAAAATCTCATTTCATATTTAATTTACTAATACTGTGCTAATTTTGAAGTTACTTGTTTGGTGACCTTAAAACAAACCAGAAAGTAAGCATAAATGGCCCCTGGGAAGCCAAAGTTACCACCTCAGGCAATTTACTCATAAAATTAAAATGGTAGGAGAAGTACAAGGAATGATCAAAATGATAATAAAAACATTTAAAGAGTTTGTCTTAAATGAAAAAAAAAAAACCTCAAGAGCCGAAGTTCCTTTAGTAAAAATGAATAACTTCCATTTTTTAAAAAACAGCTGTAACAAAGAACTATAAGAAAAGGTCCTGGATATGACATGCTCTCAAATATGATAATACATCAGTGGATTAACCTATCATATGATGAATCTTGGAAAATAGCAATCATGATAAAATAAGATGCACACAAAGATAAGTCTGCTATAGAAAGTAATAGGAAAGAAAAAGGAAACTAAGACATTACTGTGGAAAAAAAGAAAAAAGCAACCATCATTGGAATAAAAGAGCCTAGATTTCTTTTTTTAACTAGTAAGTAGCAGAGGCACTATGAAATTTTTAATTCAAATCTTTGAAATTCACTGCTGGTTTTATTTTTTGTTTTAAAGATTTTATTTATTTGTCAGTAAGAGACAGCACAAACAGGGAGAATAGCAAGCAGAGGGAGAGGGGGAAGACTCCCCACAGAGAGCAGAGAGCTGGATGTGGGGCTCCATCCATCCTAGGACCCCAGGATCATGACCTGAGCTGAACTGAGTTTAACCAACTGAGCCACCCAGGCACCCCAATATTAGTTTAAAATCCTGCACCACCATCTATAAATCAGCAACTATATGATGTAAATTTTGGGGGAAAAAATCTGGTTGATTTACATATTTGGCCACACATTTTAATAAACATAAACATTAATTATTGACTGCCTACTCTGCACAGCAAAATCTTTAAGAAGAAGATGTCATTGAATAACATTTACTATGTTTAGAGCCATGGGCATTCCAGGAGGAGGGAGCACACTAGGAAAGGCATAAATGCGCCAATTTTTATTCCATCAGGAGGACACAAGATCACCATAAATGGGTAGAGTATAGCTCCTATAATGAAAAGCCAAGGGGTCACTTCTCCAAATGAACAAGTGATTGAACAATTCATTTAAATTAAAATAAGTACTTCTTAGGAATCCTTATAGAGTAGATAAAAGATGAATTTTCTCTCTCTCTCTCTTTTTTTTTCTTTTTTTTTTTTTTTTTGAGCATGTTAGGTTTGCAGGAGGATTCAACACGCAGGCCAGTTACTAACAAAGGTATGTACAAAGACATCTAAACAAATTTACAGGTATGTCTTGTGATATGAGTAATATCATTGTCTAATAAAATATCCAGAACACATTTTTCTTTATGTATTTATACGAATAATTATTATTTACTATATGCATGTTATATTACTTATGTTACTTATCAAGTAACTCCAGATACCTGCATCATCTAGACTTAGTACACAAGGAAATAAATAATCCTCAAGTAGTCTAGTGCCCATTCCCACAAAGCATACATGCACCATATCCCTAAAATTTCAGTTGCTCTTTCCATTCTCCTTCAGCTGAAAGACCTTGTTTAGCCAGACTTTAGAACTAGAAGTGGTCTAGGGAATTTTATTCTTAGCAACTCACCTTAGTGCTCTGTCTATCCCACTTATTTTTAAGTAATATGCTAATGTTTGAATGTTGATGTTTCAAAACAATAGCTTTCTACAAATGATGTAGGCACAAGTACACAAAGTATCAGCAATCTGTTATATTTCATTTTGACTCAAGAGTGCTTTATACCAAGTCCTAATAATTTATTCTGAAAAGTATTGTAGTCTACCTTTTGATATTTTAAGAGTGCATTCCTTTCTCTTATGAATTCAAATGCTGTACTCTCTGGGCTTAACCTCTATCTCAAGCTGTCAAGATGATAACCATCTGTTTGATTGGTAACTGTTCTTTTTATTATGTTTGACACACTTTTAATTGTTTATATTGACTTATTCTTCCTAGCAACTGTTTGTGGTGATCAGAATATTTAATAAATGACTTTCCTTCTTTGTCTTTGAGGAGATGGTGTAAATCAAGTTCAAAATGTATTTAAAAAAATCATTACCAAGACAGTATAGTGAACTTTGTACATGAAAAATGTAAAAAGTTTTTTGTAAATTTGCCCTTGCTCCCATATAGAAACTTTAAGAACAGGATTTAAAATAGATAGTAATCTAAAAAACACACACACAAACAAAATCAACTGAACAAGCAATAGAGAAAGATAAAAATGTGATGATCAACAAAAATTTCCATAGTGAGCTCAGAAAATTAGTGACCAGTTTGCTGAATTAAACAAACTTGTAAGGCAATTATGTTTTCCACTTGGATTGTCCCATCTATCACTTTCTGCTTCCCCCCTTTTTCTCAGCCAGGAACGGAACAATAGTGGAAACTCTGCCAAAATTCTTACACATTGCAAAAATTGCCAAAACAGCTTTCTAGAAGCTGTAGAATCCCAATTACCATCAGATATCTATAGGTTTTAGACACATATTTACACAAATTTTATCTAGTTGCCACTTACAGCAAAACCGGACAAGTTTCTGTCCTCAACTATACATCTGAGTTTTTGTACCACAAAAATGTACACTATATCAGGTTCTTTTCTAGAACATTTTCCTGAAACCCAGTGATGTTCTTCCCTCTCCCACCACAATATCCCACTGCTATGTGATGTGACTGTCTCCTTTAATCCCCCAGCACAGCAGTGCCAATAGGACTTTTCATGGAGGAAGTACATGGGAAACTCTTGAAGAACCAACTCTCCTGCAGACTGACTTATTGAAACTGAGGAAGAAGATCAAACCCCTCAATCTTTTTTATAGAACTAAAAACATATAATGTGTGTATGCTTACCTAATGTCAGTCAGTAATGCTCTCTCTGTGCAATGAAATTAATCTCAAAGCTGGTGGGAACTATGCCTGACTTCAGAACACCAGTTCCTTCTGCTGTTGTCTGCTATAATAGCCCTTCAGAGATTCTTCTGGCTTTGTGCTGTGGACATTTGCTTCCTGTAAAGATGGTTGAATACATGGCTTTCTTTTGTGAAGGTTGGGCAATTTTAATCATATTGTGTTTTCATAAAACATGAAACATAAAACAGTTTCATGTGAAACTGAAATTGGACATAATTAAGAGAATCACTTTCTACCCATTTACTTACCCTTTGCATCATAGAGCAGGTGCTGATATCTCAGGATCAGAGGTACTCTACATTTTAAGTCATTTGGGATGTTGAAGTAAGTCCTGAGTGAACAGGAAGGTTGGATGAGTCAACTAGAATTTCAGAATTGTCTGGACTTACTTTGGAGTGAGGACTTGCAGCTGGCAACTGGGCAGTGATTCAGGAGATAGCTACTGCTAAAAGAAAAAAATAAAATAAAGTATGAGACTTACATGCTTATAATCAGCTTCTAACCTTTTTAAAGACAACCTTCATCCCTTGTGGTGGTTTCTTTTTCCATCCAGAGGGTTTCTGGATGTTAATTTTAACCTGATCTCATCAGGACACAAATGTGGGATGAATAAAGGGCAAAACAGATGAGTAGCAGAGGGATTTTATCTGAACCTCAATCACTCACTGGTGTCTCTGGCTGAAAATACCAGAAAAATGAAAGTGACAGAAATAGCTAAGAGCAGATTTAAGAAGAGATGCTGGAATGCTCAAATCTAAAGACAGTTATTAGAGGAAGGAGAAACTTAGAAATCAGTAAATGTAATGTGAGAAGAAGTTTGTAGAAGAGGAGGTGGAGGAGAGAGGAGGGAATCATGGAGAGAGGAGAAGAGACATAAGAGGAAAAGGTATGGATTTAATTACTTGATTAGAGCTAGGTCCTCAGCTCTGATTAGAGCAATGTCCTAAGCTGTTTGCTGTCATAAAATGACCCCAGTATCTCAGTATGCTACAATAACATTTTTTTCTCTTATGCTACATGTCTATGGCAGGTTAACTGCCAAAGGGCAATTCGTTGACTTCATCTAGGATTTGGACTGAATGAAAAAGAGGCCTTCGCAGAGGTTTCAGAGGGGAACAGCATGATAAAAATCACAGTACAGAAAGCACTGAAAGACATACTTCACAACTGCTCACATTTCATTTGTCAAAGCAAATCACATGGCCAAACCTAATGTCGTTAGGGTGGGAATGTATATTTTGAACAATATATAATTGTCTAACATTATGCAATATCTAAAAATGTTTTGATTTTCATAATAAGATAAATAAATGCCACTTCCCTCTAGGGTGGTCTTGGCTGGGCATTTTGTACAATGTCCTAGAGTTTAGGTTTTTCTGGTGATTTTCTCATAATTAGACTGGGGTTATGGGTTTTGTGGGGAGGAAGATCACAGAGGAAAAGTGTCATTCTTATCACATGATATCAGGGTATGTTTTATCAACATGACTCATCATTGTTGATGTTAACCTTGGGGGAAGCCTTGTCAGATTTTTCCGCTGTAAAGTCCTTGGTTTTTCCTCTTTTCTACGCTGCACTCTGGATGGAAAAAGAAACCACCATAAGGGAAATGACCACTATGCACAGCCCACACTTAAGGAGTGTGGAGTTATGTTGCACCTACTTGGGGGCATTTCCCCCTCTTCACAGGTGAGGATTTAAGATTTAAAGAGTTTAAGAGCAAGTTGACATAATTAAGTTGCATCAAGATTGAAACCCACATCTATCTGACTTATAAAATTATTCTTTTTTCAGTACAGTGCAAAAAAGAAGCCTAAGAATCGGGAAATGGTTAGAAAAGCAGAAGGATACATCTATGAGTTGTTTCAGTGAAGCATGTTGAAAGGCATGGCCCCTTGATACTAGAGACATTCAGATAATGATTCCTTAAATTGCTACTCACTAGCACTGGACTGGAGAGTTATATTCATTGATATTTATAGCACTATGCCATTATTGTGCTGATATGGCCTTCTAGTCTTTCTACAAATATACCCTGACTCCATTCTAATCACTAAACCACTTTTCAAAGGGAAACCAAGTCCTTGCAGCACTGTGAGGGGGAGCAGAGGATAAAAGTGATTTTATCTTCACTTTGTAGGGCCAGAGGATATCTTCTAAGCTTCTAAATAATTTTTTTAAAGAGAGTTATAACCCTAGATCTGTCTAATAAAGAGAAGGAATATTTCTGTCACAGAAATAGTTTTTAGACAAATGAGAAAATGTCACTGAGGCTGAGAAGCAGACCAATAGCATATTGGGGGCGGGTGAAAATTCTGTGAAGTTTTTCCTTTTTATGTGGAGATACAACATAATGTTGACATTTTCATGTATGTGTCAGGTTCCATACCCAGTTTCTTATGAAGTGTCATTGACAACAACTGCATAACAGTATTGAATTGTGTTTTCTGAACTAGGATAATATGCCTCTTCTGACAAAAACTAAGTTACAGAGAATGTACAAAGATAAAACAGAGTTTGGGGAGATTTTCTATATTTCATATGATGAAAAGTCTTTTTTTCTATCAATTTTCATAAACAGAATAGAAAGTACGTGGTGTCTGAGTCATAAGTGCACATTATATATTTAACTGTAATATTGTTACAGGATTTTTTTTCTCTGTCTGTGCCCATGGCTCTTGGTCAAGCTGCTTGGAAGAACAAAGAGATAGACCAGCAATGGTGGGCAGCCAAGCAAGGTTTATTGAACAATAGCAAAATGATAGTACAAAGCTCCAGGAGAGGGAGGGGACCCAAGAGGGTTCCACTGGAGTTTCTACACACAGGGGTTTTTATAGGCTTGTTGGGGGACTGTTTTAATCTGATTAACCCTCCATGCACTTGTCATCCAAGCAACATTTTGTCACATGGGAAAGAGTGGAAGGCTCCTTCCAGGGTAGTATAAAATCCTTTTAAAGGTGGTTTCCTCTTGGTTGGGGGGGAGGGTTGGTCCTTGTCACTGCCTGCTTGTCTTCCAACTATCCTTCACCAATATGATACTTCTGTATATGATTAGTTTAAATATTCTAAAGTGCAGTAATTTCCAAGTGAACTGAGATTTCGGCAGACAATAAGAAGTCTGTTTCTTATACTATAGAGACATTTATACTTTCAGAAATAATTTTCTTCTTCAATTGCCAAGATTATATGGACTTTCTAAGGTTACATTAATCCTATACAAGCATTGAGGTTTTAGGGCAGTGACTGTTTTGTTTATCATTGTGTCCCAGCACTTGGTACATTCTAGAACACTATACACTTAAATGTTTGTTAAATGAATATTGCATAAATATTTTCAAGAGAAAAGCACTGTGTAAATTTAAGATAGTCTTAAAATTCACAACTACATCTAATATGAAAGGCTAAAGGCTAGATCATTAATTTTCCTCAGATCAGACCAGAACTTATTTTTATGAGACTGAAGTGGTACAGGGTGAGACAACCCATAATGTGCCACTTGGCATAAAGATTATTTTGAGTTAAAAGTAATAAATACTCAGCAGATGCAGGAAAAGCTGTCTGCCTCCCCCATAACTGCCTAAATTTAAGTTGGAAAAGCAGAGCCTGCAACAGGAAGAGAGCTATTAATGGAGACTCTCTGCTTAAGGAACCTATCTGCAGAACAGGGCAACCTGGTTTTTCCAAACATCTCTTTCCGCTTTCTTGCTAATAAGATTTCTCCCTTCTGTGTCCTCAGAACTTCCACCTCTCCGTAGCTCCAGTAAACTTCCTGTGGCCTCATTGTCTTTGGAATTTCTTCTCTGTGTAGATTCCCCATACATATGTGATTACACTGGATTTTCTCCTGTCAATCTGTCTCATGTCAAGTTAATTCTAAGTCCAGCAAGAAGGACAACATGGCAGAGGAGGGTCTTTGTCCCCTACGAGACCAAGTATAACAGAGTCTGTATCACATAACTTGTGTGACAACATGTCTTCTTCCAAATATCCTGACCAATGGCAAGAATCCCAAAGGTAAATACTGATTGATGTGGGAAAGAAAAGCAAAAGAAAAAAATTGTATTTTCTTATTACTTATAAGCCATTGTCAAGTCTTAGAAACAGGCAGAGTGATCTTCCTCTGGGAGCTCAGCTGCCTTGATGTTGACAGTTTACCAAGGGCAAAAGGCAATCTTAGCCTGATCCCTCCCAGGATCCTGTAAATCTACTTCAAACATAGAAATTCCTTTGGAAACTTCCTTTATCTTCCCCCTCCAAGACATATGTTAGTAAGCATCCTCCAAGCATACGGCCCACTGATACACATCTGAAGGATCTCAAGAGTGAGTTTTTACTAAACAGTGATAACTTCTAGATATTTATCAAAAATAAATAATCAGGGGTGCCTGGGTGGCTCAGTGGGTTAAGGCCTCAGTGGGTTAAGGCTCAGGTCATGATCCCAGGGTCCTGGGATCGAGCCCTACATTGGGCTCTCAGCTCAGCAGGGAGCCTTCTTCCTCCTCTCTCTCTCTGCCTCTCTCTCTGCCTGTCTTTCCAGTTACTTGTGATCTCTGTATGTCAAATAAATAAATAAAATCTTTAATAAATAAATAAATAAATAATCAGAGATTTTGTCAGTGATTAACATTTGAAGATATAAGGGTGTTTGTTACATAATACTGAAGATTTTGAATAAAACATAAATGGTTAATAATAGGGGATTGCCTAAATAAATTAGGAAATATTCATTCAATAGGTTATTATCCACCCCTTAAAATGAAGTATCTGTATATGCAGAGGAGTGGTGTTGAATCCTTGTTTTTCCACTTTCAGGTTCTATGACTTTGAACAAATGTCTTAACTTGATTGTGCTCTAATCAAATTCACACACAATCATAATTTTAAGAATCAAATTGTTTTATAGGCTTATTACAGAAGAATTCTGTTCTTATTCTTATTACAGAAGAATTCTGACTGACTTTTTCCAATTTTTATTCCTTAGAGGCACCACTTTCAGCTCTTTTAACTGATTCTTTGGGTATTTGCCTCCATACTTCCACCACTCTAAAGGCAAAGAAAGAAACAAACAAGCTTGATTTTTTAGTTTAAGGCATTATCTACTGACTTCCTACTATGGAAACAAAATTTAGCTCTCCTTCACTGCCTCTATTCCCAGCATGCACACACACACACACACACACACACACACTCACTCTCTCTACCCTTTACTCTCTACCCTTTATTCCCAACAGAGCTTTATCATAATTTTGATTACATCACTGCATCACTGTATATAGCATTATGACATAAACATGAGCCTTAATGAGTCATACTGGGTATTATTATTACTTTCATTTTTCTAAGCAAGTTTTGGTTTTCTTAGTTGCCTTTAATTTTTTTTTTCTTTTTGGGGTGTTGTTTATTCTTAGCTTCCTATTTATTTGCAATTCTTTTATTCACAAATAT